TGGAGTTAGAATTGGACGAGCAACACGATCATCCAAGAGTGGGACAACAATGGGTTGCCGAAGCCACAGGGCTATCGAGACCATCCCGATACCTGGCAAATCTGGGACTGGAAGAAGATCCTTGGTCGGTACGCAGGTGACGACAATGATCTTACATTCGACAGTGAGAGTGTGCGAGTGACAAGAGAAGAGGAACGAGCTTATGTCGACCTCTTCAAGCATCCCCGCACTGGGAAGAATGGTTATCGCACAGTGTGGTATCGTGAACGAATGAGGCGGAACATCGCGATGGCTTTGATGCAGATTCTTCACCCGTCTCAACCAACCTATATGATGACTTGACAGGTGGGGTTCATCAAGAGAGCCTTGCGACGAGATCGTATTCACTGGGCGCGTATCTTCTTGACAACCATCCGACAACACATCGGGCTGATTCAGGGAGGGTCCGCTTGTTATTTGTCTCCGTTCTTGATTAACTTCTAAGAGGTATGGGACTATTGATTCCCGCGGAGATTGAAGTCTTTCCATCACGAGAAGTAGAAGAAGTGGTGCTGGCTAACGAGAGCAATTCAGACCTTGAGAGCGAACCGCGGAACTCACCCCAGCAAAGGAGAAAGCGGTCCCCATGCCGGCAAGACTCACAGCCGAGGAAGAGACGAAGAATCGATGAGGCCGCCGTAGCAGACCGGTTACGACGTACGGCTCTCATTGAGATGCAATCATCCGACTTTCGGACCAAGTCGAAGATGAAGGCCAGGAGGTTGATTCTTGAAGAGGATAGTAGCACCGAGAGTAGGAGGGCTGTGTTGAGAGGTCGTCCTGTGCAGGAAGCAGGGCCAGCGGAGAGAGCAGCCAAAGAGATTGAGAAATCGGTGGGGAAGAAGCCCCGCATTATAGAAGAACGGTCGACGCTGTTGAACCACCACGGGCTTCAAAGAAAGAGAGGAGGAAGGCGGTCATGATTGAGCAAGTTCCCTTGAGGCAGAATTAGGTTCCTTTGGAGAGCATCCGGATGAAGTTTCCTCGTGAACAAGTCGTTGAGGTACTGACGATGTCATCGGATACTGAGGAGGACCCTGTGGCATTGGAGTAAGTTGTGGCGAAGGACGTAGAAGACGTAGCAGCAGCCGAGAGTGGAACGCAGAAGGTAGCTTCATCCCGGACTTCCACTGACACAATCATATTAGAGAAGGGTGATGAAACCTGTGCGGAAGAGACACAGTCGTCAGTCCTGAATGCCGCCGAATTGTTGTGTGTGCAGGTACTTTCGTTGCTCCAGTACCTCGACTGGAAGCGGGAGAAGTATGCAGAAGTCTGCACCAATGAGTCCTATGAGGAGATAGTGCGTAAACGGACACGGACCAAGGTAGCGGTGACGGCTGAGATCGCCGTGAAGGAACGTAAGAGTCAACCGACAGAAGCGAAGTACCAAGCACTTCAGAAGAGGTTGGCTGAAGAAGTTGAGAAGCGAAGACAATCGGAGCAAGTCAGCGAGGGTCTTCGCGAGGATGTGGAGAGAGCCAAGTGCGTATGTGGACCTCTTGAGCAGGCTGGAGGCATGTAGGACCGCGTACGACACCGAGTCATTGAAGGTAGATGAGTTGTCGACTGCCGCAAAGGAGAAGGAGCAAGAGTATCAAATTGAGTTGGCGGTGAGGGCAAAGAAGCTTACCGAGTATGAAGGTGCACGGATCTTGGACTTAGAGCTAATCGACAAATTAGAAGCGCAGTGCGGTGAACTGAAGACGCAGCGATCGCAAACTGAGGAGCAGTTATGCGAGATGAAAGCAAAATTGACGGAGGCCGAGGGGAAGAATCGGCAATTATCGGAGGAAACGCGTGATGCCTTAACTGCGAGAGTGTAGCGGTGTTTGCGCGGGTATGTGTTATGGCAGATCGAATCCCACAACGGACTTCAGTTACGCGAGATTGAGCATCGTGCAGCCGAATTGATAGTGCGAAGCGGACGGAGGCATTGCTAGTTATCCAAGAAGCTCGAGTCGTATCTTACGAGATCGCGGGACGCGATAGCGCATCTGGAGGTAGAATTAGCAAGCGTTTTGAGAAGATTAGGTTTAGAGCGGAGGTTAGAGGGAGCGGGAACTGCCGACTCCGCAGGTGTAGGACCTGTTCGCTGCTCACATCACAGCAGGTGACAGTTTTGGTAGTTAGGAATAAAGTAGTCCAAGGCATTGGCCTTGAGAGTCTTTTTTCAATCTAGTTTCTAAGTTTCGAAACTGTGTATTCTCTGCGCATTTGTGAGTTGAATGTGTTTGTCACTGCGTGAGAGGTACTTCGGTTTGACGAAGATACCGCATCCAAAGTTGGAGCTCCAATTTGAATGTTCTGAAATAGCGATTGGCTAGTTACAGGATTTAAGCAAATTTGTAATTGGTAGCTACCTGCAGGTACTCTGAGTGTACTACTTGGGAATTTTCCCCCTGAATCTTAAGTTAAGGTACCCGATCAAACTCTGAGTTTTGCAATTGCTTGTTTCAGGTGTGTGTATGTGTCTTACGCTGCATTTCGTGTACTCCGAGTGATCTCCGAGTGGGACACATACAGTACTTCTGGGAGTGACAGTAGCTTGAGAATTCAAACTCCTCAATAGATTGATAAGAACGTGACAATTGGTACTCATTGTGTTGTTTCTGTTCTCGTGGGATCGGATCTTTACCATTATGCTCCATTTTGGTATTAATCTGTTATTACAATAAAGCTCAGATTTTTAATATGTAACAAGAAAGTTACTAACACATACTTTTTTTAGAATGATTATTGAAATTTTTCTTTCTTGCCCGTGATCTACTATCTCACCTTTAACTAAAGATGGATAGATGACTTTTCTTTGTATTGTTTTTGAAAATTGATAAGAATTATTATCCCATCCAAAAGCATATTTTTACGTTACGGATTTTATCCATCATATCTTTCAACCTGGTTTGTTATTGCTTCGTCTTTTTCAAAATATTGTTTCAAATTTCATACTACTTATGACTTCACCATCTACAAAATCATCTATCTTCTCATATGGAATACAAATATGATCTCCAAAGAAACAATGACGTATTTTTCAAGTTCATTGCAAATTATCTGCATAGAATATATCTTGAAGAGTTGATTGGATAAGAATTCTAATGTTCATTGTGGTAATTTTACTAAGAACAATCAAATTGAATGCATGTTAAATTGTATTGAAAAGAAACAAAAATCATTCTAAAACTATTAAGAAATGCGGCAAACCTGCAAGATCTACGATCGATAATAAAAGTAATCAAGCAGGTTGTTTGATTGGCCGCCTGAATCCGGTCATATATACGCCTGATGTTCAAGTTTAAGAGACATTGTTAAGTTAAGAAACGGGAAAAACCTGCAAGACCAAGAACAAAACAAGCATCACCAGAAACAAGTCTCACTTCGAATACGTGAGAGTACGCAAGTGTGGATTCTAACGTCAATCAATTCACAACTCAAGAATTGCCCGCATATATAATTGAGCTAATAAAAAGATGTAATCAAATTTATTTCGTTTATAATTGGACCAACAATGAAAACATGAATCTAGGAAAAAAATGTGAAAATATATTATTTTTTTAATATAAATTTTCATTTATTTGAAATAATAAATATTTATTATATATATAATTCATGATCCAAAAAATGACTTTTTTGTGAAATTGAATATCAAATCACATATTTAAAGTAATGATAGTTCAATATGAACATATTACATCTACCATTTGGAAATATAACTTATTATGTGTATTGCGATAGTTACCTTTATTTCACATTTTCAATGAGATTTTGAAATTATGCTACTTGATATACTTACATGATGATTGTCTAAATCTTGTCTTGATAGTTAGCACAGTAACAGCAATCTATAACATGTGCAAAGGAATCAAAAAGATTATGGCTCAGTTGGAATCCTGTAGTTGTATGAAAAACGATAAATACTATTTTTATCATTCAATCATCTAGAATTGTAAGCACACAGTGGTGACAATGTTCGTAAACATCTTTTGTGAAGAAATCATGCAAGATGCATGAAAGAGAATAAGTTCGGAAACTAGGATTACAATCAATGCAAACATTATCCTGATGTTTGGTTCCAAATTCAATCCAAATCCAAATTCAAAGGTTTGACTTTTGTAGAATCAAAAGAAGTTCAAACGTAGTTACATAACAAGTTCGAACAAGGAGACCGTTTCCTGTCTTGAAACTTCTATACAAAAGATTCAGGTAAGGAAGTTGTAACTAAGGCATATTGTCAGAGTCCTATACCTCGCAGATACCTTATCACTAAACCATTGTCATCAACCTCTCCAACATGTCTAGACGATGTTTAAGTAATAAAATCATTTTTGTTGCATGCTTCGCGAAAACTTAGAGCAATGTTACTGTGCAACCTACATCTTTTTGTAGAATGTACTTTACACAACCACTGTACTGACGTGTTGCTTATTGTAGACCGAACCGTTGCAGTTGGGCATTTTGTGAACACTAGTGTCGCGTTCTATTCCATGTCTCTTCACCGGCGTAACTGTCGAGTACAGCGTACTATTCACTTTTCTTTCTGCAAAACATTTGGGTTACCATCGCTATCTAAAATGGGTAGTGTGGAGTAGTTTGGGGTCGTTGTTCCCGTTTCCATTGCACTTCGCTATAGCTTGAAATTCTTTAGTCCAATTGAAGCTGTTCAGTTCCTACCTATTTAACAGGCGGAGACGCCACCCACCACTTCAAGTAGATTTGCAAGGCTCGAAAGGACAGCCATCAAGCTGAGGTGCACATTGATAGGAGGTCCTTGTGTGCTTACACGTAGTTTTCAGTGGGTCTGTAGTTCCTCATCGTTTTCTCGTGTGCATCTTTTCACACTCATTCCATTTATCGGAACTTTAAGTTTGACATTAAACAAAGTATGTGATGTCAAGTTCCAGCATGGAACTCTACCCAACATCAATGAACAAGATGACATCATAACACTTGAACTCTCAGTGTCACAAACAATCCTGAGCCGCGCTTTGAAAGCGTTAAACCTTTAAAAACAAAATCCTGCAATATTTGTCAAAGGAATGTCTGTCCTCTCATTACTCAGACAGCTTCATCCTTCTCTTACCAGTTTGAGAGGCCTAGAGTGTGAAACTACTCTACTATGTACATCAACGTCACAATGGATATGCTCATGTTCAATGCGTAGGTTGAGTCTCCAAACCTGAATTTATTTTGCGGTCAGACATTCCTGTTGTGCAGTCATTTAGTCATGCTATACATCGGACCCTCAATTCTAACAGCAATACACTCACCGTAACTTCCTACCGTGGTCACAAGACCTAAAAGAGATCGCAAATTCTTCACAGAGCTCCGTCTCGATGACTATGTACAACTTTACATGAATGCCAGAAATGATTATCTTCCTGCACAATAGCGTGAACGGAACAATCAAAAAGCTTCGACCATTTGTAGATGAGATCCTGAAAGACATAGTAGGTATTCAAATGATAAATGGCAGAGACAGTGAGCTCACCCGTTGAAAGTTCGTGGCCCACAGCAAATTTTCAACAGCTTCGTCAGTAATAAGCCGTTCTGCCCAAAATCCTCGTTGTTGCATTCATACCAGGCGCGTCCAGATACGTGTTTGGATCCGTTTCCAAGCCATAATCCATCAACGGCCTATTCTCCAGATCCTCATCATGCTCAACGACAAAGTCAGGCACTTCAACTTGACCCTTCTTCACGTAATCCACCAGAAACTCTACACGGCTGATGTACACCACCTTTTGATAGAATCTGCGGAAGAACCAGATATTCCTTCAATTCATGAGTATAAATGTAGCTGAAGAAAAACACACCCTTGCATCCTCCATCCGCGACAGTTCTGAATCTTAGGCCTCCGAAAAAATTAATTTGTGGTAGCACCTCTATTCTCTCCCTTGCATTCGAAGCAAGAGAGTCATATTTCAACCATCCCGTCTCTCAGAACTGGAAAGTGAGCGAGGCAGGAAAGAAAGAACTATATGTATCGAGGAAGAGCAACAGATTTGTTTCCTTACTGAGGAAAGCGAACGATGAAGGCTGAAAGACACCAGTTTCCATTGATTGTCCTTCACCAAGGAAATCTCGTATCCTCATAAGAAGAATATCTTAGTATTTTCTTAGCAGAGACAACCTTGGGGCATACGAGTGTAAAGAAAAGAAACGAATAATGTGTAAGGAGAACACCGTGTCTTCAAAATGAAAATCAGATTGTGATCAGGTAATTGTGCCATAATTGACAGTTGTTTCTGCTGCTTCTACGAGGTGAACAGAATGTAATGTAGCTTGAAGGTAGGAGGCCCTCACCCCTCACTTAAGAAAAAGCGCCCAACTGTGGCAAGCAGAAGTCTTGATTTCAAACCAGGATGCACAACGTAAATTGCGGCGAGCTGCTGTCGCAAAGCCTGTGACAGGCTTTCATATATTTGCCTCATATACAGCATCCCCGGAGAATTCTCTGCACGATCCACTTTTGAATGGAAGTAGACGATGCTGAAATTTTCATCTTTTATCTCATTCGCCAGTTTGTTTGTGATATATATCTTCAGCCTCTCGCGATCAATGGCCGTTGCTGTAAGTGACAACTTGCTACTCAGACTCAATATACACCCACAATAACACTCAGATTATTCCCATTTTCCTAATAGAATATGTATCTCACCAATACATTGCACTGACCTGCACTGAGGTCAAACACTAATCGTTGACAGGGGGATTACAGAATATTCATGAAAGCCGACTTCAGTGTTCCGCAAGAAGACTCATAGTAAAACTAAAGTAAAAATGAAAACTGGAATCGATGGAAAGCTTCCAGTCATGCGCAAAGCCAAGTGTCCGGAAATGTCTGTGTGGAAAATGAAACAATCAATTGCAAAAAGCTAGACAAAAGTACCAGCAACCTTGCTTACAACGACAATTCTAATAATTTAAGACTAACCAGGTAGATATTTTCCGACGATCCGAACAACTCTTCGGTCCTGCCGGTCCACGCCTTCTACCCTCAGAACTTGTAGTTCCTCGAGGTCTGAAAAATCCTCATTGGCGTATCTGAATGCAGAGTTTTCTGCCTGGCCCTGCTCCATCTGTGCTTTTGGACTGTCGTCTTTGAAGCTGAAATATGAGGAGTCCACCACTAAATCCGAGGAGAGAACAAAAAGACTTGACTCGCTTTCGACTCGACTCGCTGATTGGACAGATTGAGATTCCTCGACTTTGTCCATTCCTCTATCCCTCTCTCTTCTGAATCCACAGAGTCAAGGGAAGGCCGCAACGTTTTGTTCCAATGTGCTTACCTGCCACCCTCCACCACAGAAAGCCCCAATGCACCCAGAGCGCATGGGAGAGCAAATCAGCGCAAATCTCCCACGCCTTTCCCTCTTCTCTCGTATCAGGCCTCGAATTCTGGAAATTGAAATTTGAAACCTCGTCGGACCATTACAATAAACGAAGCAATCTTCGAGCACGGTCCATTCATCGATACGAATCCACTCCACCAATGGCACCTAACCCTAATTGGACCGAAGGGCGGAAAGTACACGAGCTTAAGAGCTCGCTCCGTTCAGGGTGATTCTGCTGGAGCAGTCATTGTCGAAACAAATGGAGCTTTCAAGAACCAGGAGAAAGAAGATCGACAAGCAGACAGCTGACAACTGGACAGCGCCGGGCGCACAACGATTTAAATGGCTCGAACGCCAGATGTTGGGAATCGGACAGGATAAGTCTAACACACTCACTGTTTGGCGGCCGTCGTGACTAGTCAATCAGGAACATTCTTCGACACATCTGGGTCATGGCGGTGAGAGTTTATGGATCTATTATTTTCTGGAATGTTAAATAATGTTTATCTAAAGTTAAACTTTGAAGGAGAAGCTTCGTGTGCAAAACTCTGGCTTAAGCTCGTTAATTGGAATTTGATTCACTTTCATTGTGTCGATATGTTCTGGTGTTCAATGTGTCATTCGAGTTTTATGCCAAATTAGACAAGTTCGATTGAGATTCGAAATTATTTTTCTTAATTTTGGTTTCAAGCAGTCTTTAAATAATTTCGATAAAATCTACCACAAACTGATCCTTAACAGATCAGACAACAACAAATCTGTCACCAAAAAATGTCGCTTAAATCTGCCACAAAGATAAGTGGACAGCATTTAGTCAGCAAAGTTGATATAAAGTATACTGAACATTGTCATCAATGTTCAATCAATACTGAACCTGTACTTAACTTCACCTTACATGGATACAAGACAATCTGATTACCACACATAAATGAATTAGATAAAACTGATTAATATCTTTCAGAAATAGATTGTATAAGATAAGTAAGTAAAACATGCAACTCATTCATTATAACAATGTGGCATAGAGTAAAACTTAAACCATATTTTATCCTATATCATACACAGAAAGATGAGACTTAAAATAAAAATATATTATCCTATGTGGAAACATTAGATTTAAAAAACCATCTTTCAGTTCCAGATCACATTGTATCATGCTTATTATACATGTAATATATATATTATGATGTGAGAGTCTTTTAGTGTCTCACAACATTAACAGATGATATATCTAGATGTCTCTTGTAGTTTGTGCTTGGTTTACAATGTTAATCCAATTGGTTTATTTTAAATCAAATGCATCACTGCAATCAACATGTAACACACAGCAACTAGTTAAAGAGTTAACTCTTTTTTAGTAAAAGAGTTCAATTCGAATCTTACAACATGGTACCATGATGTTTTTGATCCTCTTGTGATTGATGATTTGTATAAGTAATCACAAATTTTCTTCTTACTCGATATCTTGCTCCTCAATATTTCACTAGACGATGAGTTCCTCCCAACCGCCATTGAAGAACCTCAATATAATTTTGCTGTCACGTTACGTTCCGAGAAGAAGCTCATCGTACGACTCAACTACATGAATTGGTCCATACATTTGAAGACAATGTGAGGACCAAAGTAATCTATGAAGACATTATTTTTGATCCGCTATCCTTGGCGGCGATGACAATGCTGATGCTAATGGGGCGGACAAATCAAGTTCATTGCAATGATCAAAATAATTTATCACTTGATATGCTTTTTTCTATTGCCGAATATGAAGATATTTTTTTCTGAATTGTGGATTTATCTACGTACTCTTTATTAGTTTAATAATGCCCAGCAACGCCTTATACTAACCTAAGAACTGGCTACTCTCAAGCTTCGTGCTCCTGTCACAATTGATGTCTGTCTTCAGATCATCCAGACGCTCAAAATGCACTTCGCCGCTATCGAGCATTCCTCTTTGATAGTGTTCTTATTCACTATACACTTAAGTATCTTCTCTTATCTTGGACTCCATTAGTCTTGAATTTTAGCCGCTATATTTTCCGCGATCCACCATCAGGTTTTACCAACCTCATGTAGCGCTTGCATATTAACATTACTTGGATTAACAGTCACCAGAAGAACAACTCTATGGATGCAATCACTTAGTTCTTCCGCAATCCGCAATTTTCAAGGACGTCTTCCCATTAAACTACCATAGAGTATTTTTTAGCTCGAGAGGATATATTTAACCGATCAACTTAATCAAATACTCAATGTAACTACTACGGTAGACTTAATCAATGAAAACAAGATTGAGATCTCAAGAAGCTTAACGGGCAGATTTTAAAGCTCCAGCTTAGAGCCTTCAACATGACACATGTTAAGGTGCAAGCCAACGTTGTTAAAGACAGGACGATAGTGGGCATGACTTGGCCGACTATGAATTGATAAACTTGAAAGCCAATATGAAAATTAGTAAAATGGGAGATTAACTCTTTGATTCATGTGTCAGCAATCATGTGATTGATGAAAAAACCACACTTAGTCTATTTCAACCTACAATTTTTCATTCTGGAGTTTTCACCGCCAATGTAGCTTGTTTAGTTGTTGCTGACAACGATACACTGAGTGTTGATATATATTGCAATAAAAAGATAAAGCCAATCTATAATATGTTACATTTTTTACTGAACTTTTCTCTTAATTTTTAGTATTACATCTTAAATAAAATAACATAATTTTGATAGTGTTCAAATTATTTTAAGTATTGAAAAACTACATATCAGATAATTTGATCTTATGGTGTTTAATAAATAATATAAAATAGAATTATTATTTCAATTATATATAAATATAAAAAATGTTTCTAAAATTTTGTATTTTTTATTTTATATTCAATGATTATATTTTTATCAAAATTTTGAAAAATATTGATTTATTTGTGATGATTTTAAAAAACTGTTGATAGAATATTCAAATTTTGTTAATATGTTCAATTTGTCTCACAATTTTGCTTTAGTATTAATATTATAGATTTGAACAAATCAAATGTTAAAATTATCAATATTTGAAGTAAAATTAATCATAATTGACATCCTAAATCACGTTATAGCACTTTATTATAGATGCAATAAATTTTTTTTGTTAAGTGATAAATTTTTAAATAACTTTGTTATTTGAATCATAATTGATGAGTTTTGAGTTGTGGTTTTGACATTGTATTTAATCCAATTCATCAAGTTTTATTTATGTTTACATATTTTATTTTGCTAAAAATTTTAGCCTTAGATCAAATTAAATTTGGTTTGACTTCACAAAAGTTCAAAAATGATATTCTTCATTCTCATGGATGATGAAATTTGAATCAATGGATATTTTTTTAGAACTGTTTTTTAAGTCTGTGAAATTTTGTAAATTTATTTAACACAGATTGAAAAAATAATTTGAAAATTTGAAAATATGTGTAGCTCATATATTTCAATATATGAGCTACACATGAATTTAAATTTTAGGTTTGTTTGTATAATAGATAAGAGGATTCTGATATATTCAAATTGAAAAGTTAAGTAAAAATCTAGATGTATATTTGTAATGATTCAAATTTTATCATGAAATTTTTGAAGAATTAAATATTGCTTTCATAAAATTTATCATTGAATTTTTTTCAAGTTCTAAACTAACTAAAATTGAAATGATTTTGAATGCGTGATGATGGCTTTGGTTAGACATAAACAATTAGTTGCGGAAGATAACATTGATTGTTACAAACTTGGTATAATATTTATACTTCTCGACATTAAGGTTATCTTAAAATTTCATATTTTTTTAACATTAATTGAAAAAGTATTCTAAGTTTGATACATAATAGCTTGCATTTTGTCATACATTTGATGTTTGAAAAATGGTTGTTTCAAAATCATTTTTCACAATGATATGAATTTTGAAAATAAATTTAAACATAAAATATCAACTTTCAATTATCTTTGAAGTTATAATGATAATAGAAGCTTCAAATTTTAAAATCTATATATTTTTTATGATGATATCTAATAAAAAATCAATATTTTGTGAATAAATAATAGTTTTAGATGTCATTATATCATCATACATCTGAAATTTCTATAATAAGGCAATGTAAATGCAACACCATCATTTATTATGAGATGGATAATTTATTGATAAATTATCTTCAGAAAAAGATGAGATTTACCTCTTAATCATCAAAATTTAACAATCACAATTTTGCACAAGAACCCTGAAATAACTCCGAAGCAAAAAAATTTGAGTAGAAAAAGATATTCTAAGACGTGATGTTGATAAAACAATCATAAAAACAAAAACTTAGTCTATGTTGAAAATATGTCAAAACAAATCAGTTAAAAAAAGATTGTAGTGGCAAAGAAATCATGACTTCTTCAACAAATGTGGCATACTATAATGAAAAATAAAATGATGAAATTTACAATCACAACCATATATAATGATGGCATTTTATAATCTTTGCATTTTATTTTGAAGAACAAAATTTAATGAGTTTATTACTGTGTGTGTCAAAAGTATATGTCTTATAAGAAAGTTATTAGTTTTCAATAAATATTATAAAGTTATTTTTTTATAATTGGAATTAAATTTAGTAAGGCCAAATTGAAATATTGAATGATTAAATTTTTAAATGTTTCATAATATTTCATACACATTGATATCATTCATATATATATATATATATATATATAATTTTAAAAAAATAATTTGATATCCTTTGATATGTTAAACACATATTGCATAAAGAAAAAATTATTGAGGATATATTTCAAATCATGATTATTTTTGTCCATGATTCAGACATAAAAAAATATTTTCTGAAAACATTGTAACATTAATATTTTCATATTGAAAGCAACAATTTGTATTGTCTACAAGTGCGGATGATTCAAATTCTAAAATAAATTATACAACTTATTGCATTCAAGAATAGATCATATGAGTTAGATTAACATGTCTTTTTGTTACAATAAAGATCTTACATCTATACTATGATCTAGCCGTTCAAATTTGTCAACATAATCTGCTAAAAAATAACATCAAACTTCATTTGACATTGAGCTAATAATTTCAAAAAGATTATTGAATATATATAAAATAAAGAACTTATGTTTATTAATCTAAATCATGTTAACTTCTATGATTTTTTTATGAAAATTGTGTGCACTTATTTTTTGGATCAAAATTTAAAGATCTTTGTTACTTTTTTAAATTAAAATCCAAGCTAAGACTTGCAATCATTCTAATTTTTGAGTAAATTATTTTTCAAAATTATGATATAAAAACTTTAAGTCTGTTTAAATAATTCAAAGAATAAAAGGGTATCTAAAAATAATAAAAGATTCAATTCTGAAAATTTTGAGTAGTAGTCTCAATTAAGAAG